CTTCCCCTTGTTCCAGCCACACACGTGTGCTTATTCTTCTAATCTGTCAGGCTCAACTTGCTTCAGGGCCTTTGCATGGGCCTCGAGGTTGCCTGGAATTCTTTTTGCTCAAATCCTCGCCTAACTTTTCCCTCAGGCCTTGGTTTAAAGTCGCCTCTTTAGAAAAGCCATCTCTCTGGGCGTGGCGGTGCGCACCTGTAATCCCAGCACTCCGAAGGCTGAGGCAGGAGGATCGCTATGCACTGAGGCCAGCCTGGGCTACACAGTGAGCTCAAGACCAGTTTGAACTGCATAGGGAGACCTTGTCTCAGAAAGACAACAGAAAGAGAAGCCACAACAGTCCCCAGCTCAGACCTGTGGTGGCCCCTCCTTGCATTCCCCTCCCTTACCTCGTTCTGTTTTTCTTGGCAACACCTGTCACTGCTCAATCTCTCTTTTTTTTTTTTTTAACTTTCTCCAATTCTGGGGCTTGGACCCAACCACCTTTGCACGGAGCCCCACCTCCAGCCCTTTTTATTTCTTAAATTTGAGACAAGTTCTTGTTAAATCACTCAGTTGCTTAACCTAGGCTCAACTGTGGTCCTCCTGCCTTAGCCTCCCAGAGTGCTGGGATAACCCGTGCACCACCACACCTGCGCCACATCCTTCTCTGTCCTTCCTTCTGGAGGCCACAGAACGTGTTGTCCCAAAAGGGGCCACCATGGTCATTCTGTGTGCCTCACACCCTCTGGCCAGTCTCCTTAGTTTCTTCACAGCCACGCTTTCATCTTTCAAACCTCTGAGCAGATCAGAGAGGGGAAGTTGCTTGTTTGGGGTCACACTGCATATCTAGTCAGTCCCTAGACCTCAGGCTCTCAACTGCCCTCTGTGCTCAGACCAGCGTTAAAGGATGCTGGTGGGAGGAGACTGCCGGTGGGCCTGCAGCCAGCCGGAAGCAGGAAAGGCCCTCAGCAGCACCTTACAGAGCAAGACCACCCCCTTGTGTTTAAATGCTGAAAAAGTGCTTCACCTGCACTGTTCCCTCCATGACCTGTGGCCAGATGCTTCATCTTCTAGGTTAAAGATATCAATAGCAATAAAAAAATAATAATAGCACCAGCAATGAATGCTTATTTACCTTTTCCTAGGAGCCAATGACCAGCCTTACTTTTTTTTTTTGAGGCAGTTCAGTTTGGCCCTGAACTCACTATGTTGCCCAGGCAGGCATTGAATTCTAAGCGATTGTCCTGCCTCAGCCACCTCAGTGCTGAAATTATAGGCATGCACCACCACACCTTGCAGTGCTCACTATTTGCTGAATTCATGAAGTGGCAGAACTGGCATTTGCACCACACCAGTCTTGTGAATTAAGATGCCACCCCCTGCAGTGTTCACAACTGTAATCCCAGTACTCTGGGAGGCTGAGGCAGGAGGATGGCAAGTCTGAGCGTGTGGCCTTGGCTAAATAGGAAAGTGAGCTCGAGACTGACCTGAGCTACAGAGTGAGAGTCTGTCTCAAAGAACAAAGCAAAACTTGTTGTGTGTGAAAGCCTTCCCTGACCAGCCTGGAATCTCCAGTCCTGCTCCCAGAGTGGGCTTTGTGTCCCCTTCACATTCCCTGTGGTTACCAGCGATGTGGTTCTGTTAGGTGGGACATTTCTTTTTTCCCTTCCCTCTTTATTTATTTCTAGTATTGGGGGTCACGCCCAGGGTCTTTCTGCTGAGCCTACTCCCAGCTCTTTTAATTTTTTTTTGTCTGAACAGCTTCGGGCTAAGTTGCTTAGTTGCCCAGGCCCGGCTGGAGCTTGCCGACCTCCTGCCTCAGCCTCCCACGGTGCTGGGTGAAGGTGTAGGTTGAGGCAGCGGTCTCCATGAGGCACCACAAGCAAAGGGGTAAGAAGGCTCCGGTCCTTGTTTCGCTGTCTCGGGAGACTCACCAAACACGAAATTGTCGGGCCGGAAGATCTGGCCGAAGGGGCCCGAGCGGACAGAGTCCATGGTGCCCGGCTCCAGGTCCACCAGCACCGCTCGGGGGACGTAGTTCCCTCCTGCAGGGGAGCAGATGGAGGGCAGGTGGCGTGAGCGCAGGGGGCCGAGCGGTTTCCCGGGCCTCGCCGCTGTCCCTGCCAACCCACGCCCCCGCATCCGAAGGCTGCCCTGTGCCCTACCCGTGGCCTCGTTGTAGTAGACATTGATCCTCTCCAGTTGCAGGTCACTGTCCCCGTGGTACGTGCCGGTGGGGTCGATGCCGTGCTCATCGCTGATCACCTCCCAGAACTACAGGAGTGAGCGGAAGGGTGAGAGGGGCTCGCGCGGCCGGGCCTAGCTCCCCCGCCTACCTAGGCAGCAGCCTGCCGCCCCAGCGAGGTGACAGGGACGGGGGAGAAGGCAAGGACGAGACGACAAGAAAAGGGGTGGAAGCGGGGTGGCGCAGTCGGCAACCCGCGCAGCCGGCCTGTGCCAGTGCCCCGGCTGCGGCTCGGGGGAGGGGCGCGGTCCTTTGTGCGCGAGGGCACCGCAGGCCAGCTGTGCGGCCAGCTGTGGACGGGGTTGGGCCGTGTCCCGTGTGTCCTCCGCCTCTTTGTTCCCAGCCGGGCCCCGGCTCAGTGCCCCTCCCCCGTCTCCCCTAGGCGCCGGCCTCTTGGGGACCGCGTCCGGCAAAGGCGCCCGGGCCGGTGACCTGGGCCGCGCCCCGCGTCCCGCTCCCTGCGCCCGGCGCACGCACCTTGGCCCCGATCTGGTTGCCGCACTGGCCGGCCTGCAGGTGCACGATCTCCCGCATGGCTGCTGGGTACGCGGCGACGCGGTCGCGGACACTCGGAGCTGTGGCGACCGATGCGGCGACGGCGGCAGGCGGCGAGCTCGGTCCCTGCGCCCCCGAGCGCCGCTATATGGCAGGCGGGGCGCGCGTCACCGCCGGTTCCCCGTCCGCTCCGCCCCGGTCCCGCCCCGGGTCGCAGCTGTGTGTGTGTGTGTGTGTGTGTGTGTGTGTGTGTGTGTGTGTGTGGAGGGGGAGAACAGGCACAACCATCCTGGAGCCTCTGAGACCGCGGGGTTCCCTGCGTCCCCCTCAGCACCAGCGCCCCCTGCCCAGCCTGATTTCACAGCAGTCGGGGGCACTGTGTAAACCAGCAGCCGTGGAATCCCGCCGCACCCCATTGCGCCTCCACCCTGCCTCAGTTTCTCTGAGCACAGCCCACCTTCTTATTCAGCGTAGACCTCTTTAGCTAGAACCTCGCTTAGCCTGGAGGCCTGGGGGCGGGGGAGGCCGAGCTGGGTACTCTGGGTAGCTCTGAGGCAGAGGTGGGGGGCTCTGGGAGCTGAGCAGTCGAACAGTGCTTTCCTTTCCGCCTTGGCCAGGGTTGCTTGAGTGCCAAAGCTGGAGTAGGGTGTGGGGGCACTGAGTGCCACCCTGGACACCTTTGCTGGGTATGGGTCCCTCACGTGGGGACCTCGACCACAGCCTATCCTGGGCAGCACATCGCAGACTCAGATTAGATTTACAGCTGGATTACAATGAGGAGGACATGGAGAGGTCTTCCCGGATCAACACCTCTACTTCCTATTACAGTCCTTCCTTCCTTCCTTCCTTGCTTCCTTGTTCCTTGCTTCCTCCCTCCCTCCCTCCCCCTCTCCCTCTCTCCCCCTCTCCCTCCCTTCCATTCTTCCTCCCTACCCCTCTCTGTCCTTTCTTTCTTCTCTCCCTTCTTTACACAGGGCCTTGACATATAGTCCACACTGGTCTGTAGCTCAGTCCTTACGCTCACAGTGATCCTCCTACTCCAGTCTCCTGAGTGCTGGGATTACAGGCATACACCACCATCCCTCGCTTCTGAGGTCTTACAAACCCTTTTTCTTATCTTCACATTTCAAACTCAGGGCCATTTAAATTTTATTTTGACAGAGTCTTGCTCGGTGGCCTCGGACTTGCTACTGTCCTGCTTCAGCCTCCTGAGGACCTGGGAGGCCAGGTGTGCACACCCTACCCAACCTCTGCACAGCTCTGTGACCCCACTCAGGCCAGTTCTGCCTGTGTTCTGTCCCCTGCAAGGTGGCGGCCAATGCCTGCACTCTGGGGCAGGGCCACTGGAGGGACACGCAATGGCCCTGGAGTATATCTGTGCAGAGGACACTTATTATCAGGAGCCTGCAGGGTTTCCTATGGAAAGTGAAGGTCAGATCTCTTGGGGCCACTTCCTGGCCACAGCCTCCTGTGCACCTCCCAGGAAGCCTGGGACTTTTTTTGTTATTATTATTGTTTGCTTTGAGATAGGATGTCCCACGTAGTTCAGGCTGGCCTTGAACTCTCAGTTGTACACCAGCTCCCTGAGTGCTGGCAGGAGAGGTCTGCGCCATACTCCCGCTGAGGCCTGGGGCTATCCTTGGGGGTGCAGTGCTGGCTATGTGGTTCTGCCTCTAATTTTAGGTTTTTAAAAAAATGTATTTTGTGCAGGGTCTTACTATGCAGCTCGGACTCATAGTGATCCATCTGTTCTCAGCTTCCCTAATGCTGGGATTGCAGGAATGCGTCATCAGCCTGGTCTCCTTTGCAGGCTCAGCACACTTGGGCGTGGGGCTGGTGCAGCATGTAGTGCCAGGGATCTAACCCCAGTCCCTGTACTTGCCTAAGCAGTCACTTACTCCACTGAGCTATCTCATTGGCCCTCTGCCTCTAATTTTAAAGTCTGAACTCAAAGGTGCTGTACCATAGAGCTCCTTCCCTGGCTGGTTTATTTGCTGAATTGCCCCAGCTAGCTACAAATTCAACACCCTCCTGCCTCAGCCTTCCAAGTAGCTGGGATGACAGGTGTATGCTAGTGTGCTTGTCATGTAGTGAAAAATGGCTCTCAGTCAAAGGTGTTTGAGGTCCTTCTTGACTTGAACGAAGAATTAGATGAGACAAATAAACATACAAAAAAAAAGGCATCAAAAATTCACTTGAAGGTTGTATGGTAATAACAATAAGCTTGTCTTCTGGACGGTTAACCACCTAAATTTGCAGACCAAAATTAGAGAAAAAGGAGGGCCGCAAGGAAAGCCAACATTTTGGCCCCAGACTTCCAAGGTCAGTTAAGACTCAGGACATATGAGAACTTGTACTCTAACATCATGTAACTCGGTAGTGTCCCAAATTTTCTGATTAAGAAGATTATGGGCCAAAGAGGAAAGTGATCGATGATGTAGAGTGTGCCTAAGGAGAGTCACATGGAGAGAAAACATTCTCTCAGGCTTTCACAGAGAGCACATTGGCCAAGCAATGGCCGTGACTCATCCACATGGCTGACACTGACAAAAGATCTACAATCTGAGGTACAGGATTTCAGCATAAATCCTGAGGGGATTTCACGGACCTTATCAGACCCAAAAGCTACAACTCTTGTTGCATAGGTCCTGTTTTACCTTGGTCTTCACCATCCAGCAGAAAAGTATAAAAACAAAGTATAAGATGTAAAACCATGGTGTTATGTTGAGCTGTGGGGGACTCAGGTCAACAATTTCTGACATTGCCAGTGAAGCAGACGACCCAATGCTATTATGGGCTACTGGACTCTTTTAGAATATTTTGCTGAGTTTACACACCTATAATATTCAAATAACGGAACATAACAAAAAAAGGGGATACAGATGAATGTCCATTTTGTATCTGTGTATTCAAAGTGGTTAGGATAGATATATAGTTATATTCTCTTAATGAATAGATTTGTTCTAATGGTGTTTGTAAATAGGATATCAAGTTCACATCTTGTACAGCAATTAACCACTAGGAAGAATGTATGCAATGTGTTAATTATTGAAACTGTCCTACCAAGTTTGGTTTGAAACTGTCTCATTGCTATTTGTTTCTCAATAAAATTATGGAAAAAATCTCAAAAAATCCCCCAAAAATTCATTTGAAAAATGAGGGGTGCAGGAGTGAGGGGAAAAGTAGCCCTGTTGAGAAAACTTGGGCTGAGCAAAGAGAGGAAAGGATAAACAGGAAAAACAAAAGTGTTCCCTGCTTCTAGGAGTCGCCGGGCTGGCTTCAGCAGGAAGCCAAGCTAGTGGGCTCCTCTTTTTTACGCTATCCATATCTTTTGGAAACCCATGAGAAATGTCACACAGGCGATCCTGACGCTGTCTTGGGTCTTGTACTCTCTCTCTCTCTCTCTCTCTCTCTCTCTCTCTCTCTCTCTCTCTCTCTCTCTCTTTCTTTCTTTCTTTCTCAGTACCAGGGATAGAACTCAGGACCTTACGCTTGCCAGGCAGGTGCTTATGCCACTGACCTATCTCCCCAGCTGAGATCTTCTAATTGACAGGTTCAGTTTATTTCCCCTTCCACCTTTGCTACCCCTACCTACCTCCTATATCACTTGGTCACTGGGAAAAAACTTTTTATTTTTATTTATGTTTTGGGTACCAGGGATTGAGCTCAAGGCCCTGTGCTTGCCACAAGGAAGATGCTGATGCCACTGAGCTATCTCCCTGGCCCATGGAGAAAAACTTAAAAAAAAAAAAATTCATTTTGGTTGGGCTTGAACTCACTTATATAAGCCAGGCTGGGCTCAAACTCAAAGAAATCCTCCTGCCTCAGCCTCTCAGAGGGCTGGGACTATAAAATGTGCCCAGCTTGTAGGCAAGTATTTTTTTAGCAAGCTGTGTTTTGTGATGTGGCTCCATAGGAAACGAGTCTGGCTTTAGGCTGTCGTGTTGTAGCTTCAGTCCCATCTTCATGCAGCCCAGGCTTTCCCTGGCCACAGCCCTGTGTGTTCTACCTCCTCTTCCTCCTTCTTCTTCTTCCTCCTCCTCCTCTTCCTCCTCCTCCTCCTCATCCTCCTTCTCCTCCTCCTCCTCCTTCTCCTCCTTCTTCACCTCCTTCTTCTCCTCCTTCTCCTTTTCCTCCTTCTTCTTTTTTGCACAAAACTGTGAAGCCCCCAGGTTCCCCAGCAGTGATGCCTACCGGAATCAAGGTGTTTGCGTTTCTTAAGCAAGTTATGGGACTAGAGAGGGCCAATTATCTTGTGACTTCAGCTTACCAATATTATCTGAAGGCTAAATAGTGCTTTCACTGGAGCCAGGGAAATAGCTCAGCAGCACAGCACCTGCCTGGCAAGGGCAAGGTCCTGAGTTTGATTCCTGCTTTAAAAAAAAAAAAATAGTGCTTTGGTTATTCTGAGTTGTAGCCTCCAGATATCAGCTGTGATAACAATCCCGTGAACTGTAGTACTGTGTACCTGTAGGGCCAGCTCCTTGGAAGGATGAGGCCAGAGGATCTCTTGAACTCGGGGCTTTGAGACCGACTGGGGTAACATAGAGGGACCATGTCTCATAAAACGAAAAACAAACAGCAAAATTACTAGGCCCTAAAAAGAGGAAACTAGAAGTTGGATGAATGGTTTATTATGATTTTAAATTGTCATTAAAAGTTTAGTCCAAGCTGGCTGTGGTGGCACATGCCTGCAATCCCAGCACTTGGGGAAGCTGAGGCAGGACAGTTGCTGTGCTGGAACTGCATAGCAAGACCTTGTATGAGGAAAACACCAAGAAGAAGAAGAAGAGAAAGAAAAAGAGGAAGAGGAAGAAGAAGAGGAAGAAGGAAGAGAAGGAGAAGGAAAAGGAGGAAGAGGAGGAGAAGGAGGAGAAAAAGAAAAATGCAGGCGGCCAGTAATGAATATGGGGTCTGTTTCGTAGGGCTGCCATAACAGAGTGTCACATTTAGACACTCTGTTATGAGTGTCTAAATGTTATGAGGCCATTTAGATAAAACAACAGAACTGTGTGGGCCCAGTTCTGGGGTCAGAAGCCCAAGTTCCAGTGTTGGGCCGAGCCTCGCCCTGCCTCAGGTGGGAGTCCTCCTCCACTTCTAGCTTCTGCAGCAGGCCATCTCGGCCAC